GTTGTTTTGAGTTACTTGTATCTCTGGCCCTGTTTACACTTACTTAAGGTAAACATATGGATACACCGAATTTATACAAATGATTAAGTTACGGGCGTCACAACACACCACTCATTGTGGGTGAATGTTTACACCTGTCGTGTCAAACCCTGGTGATTATTGCACATGCGCCACATAATCGCAATTATATTGCGATGCTATATTGTTCCGCCTAAGTAAATGGTAAAGCATCCTGATGTGTCCCCGACAAGGATGTCAAAATAACTGTGTACGGGGCAGTAATGAAATTGCAACAAAAGTGGTCAGCTGGACACCATGGATACACATGATAGACACGGGTGTAAATGGCGACGTCAGTGTCTCAGCTGTCTGTGATCCGATTTCCCAAGACATTATAAAACAGGGCTTGTGGTGCAAAAAAGGAAGCAGTTCTGTCAATTAAATTACAAACGTCATTGACGTTTGTACCGTGTGGTCCTTGTAGTTTGTGCTTCCCTGTATTCTGAATCCTAGTCTGCCTGACTCGTGATTACAGATCTCGACAAAGACGCACCTACTGCGACCAAGAGCGACCACATCGGTTTGCTACAGGAGGTCATCTATTGGCTGAATCTGCCCGAGGTCCAGGAGGACCCCATGGCACTGAATCTGGCCAGCCGGAGCGGAACCCTGCTGCAGGGGATGTCTCCGCCCGGGAACACGCACCTCGTAGGTGAAGTACGCGAAACCCTCCAGCAGCTGGTGGAGAGGGTGATGGAGAGAAGGCTCCCACCGATGTCACTCCAGACTATCAGATCACCGCTCCTCCTCCCTTGATGGAGGGAGAGGAGGAGCTTGAGTGGGACCCCTCAGGGACCTCCCTAATGGCCTCAATGGACTCCTCCAGGAGGAGGACTCCTCCGCCATCACCCCAGCAGAGTCAATCCCAGCCAGGATCCCACCTGTCGGTGTCCTGAAGAGGAAGAGGACATAGGCACAGGGGTCAGGTCCCGCCTGCCCTGCCCCCTGGCTCACCTTCTCTCGCCTTGGCTGGGGCTCGGGAGGCTCCTGCAGGTCCTTCGGCTCCTGTTCGGCTGTTGCCTGCGGGTCGGCTGCCTTCAGTCCGGCCTCCGTTGCCTTGTTGGTCGCCTGTGGGTTCCCCTACCTCGGCTTGTCAGTCGCCTGTGGCTCCCCCCACTACGGCTCGTCGATTGGCTACACCTTTTCCAGCTGTGGCTGTGCCGTCGCCTGCTGTGGCTGCTCCTCCCTCCTCACCTGCGCCGTGGTCCCCTCCGACTTCCTCCTCTCCTCTCCTGGTGCCCGCTCCGACTCCCTCCTCACCTGCTTCGCTTGTCCCTCTGCCTGCCTCCTCGCCCCCTGCGAGGTCACCTGCGGCCCTCACCCGCTGCGGTTCCCTCGAGCTCCCCTCTGTCCGCCGTTCTCGATGTCTCTGCCTCCTTCCTTCATCCCTCTGTACACTCTGTACACTGGTCCTTTTGTTCCTCCGTTCTATGTTCCCCCTGTGTCTCCTTTCCTGGTCTGCCTGTCTGCATTCCCTGTTCTGTGCCAGATTTGGCTTTTGCCATTGTGCTTGTTCTGTGTTTCCTATCTGTGTCCATCGCACGGAACACCAGGGCAAGGCGGGCTGTACACCGCACGGAACACCAGGGCAAGGTGGGCTGTCCATCGCACGGAACACCAGGGCAAGGAGGGCTGTACACCGCATGGAACACCAGGGCAAGGCGGGCTGTACACCGTATGGAACACAAGGGCAAGGCGGGCTGTACACCGGACGGAACGCCAGGGCAAGGAGTGTTGTACACTGCACAGAACGCCAGGGCAAGGTGGGCTGTACACCGCACGGAATGCCAGGGCAAGGTGGGCTGTACACCGCACGGAACGCCAGGGCAA